CCGAGTGGCTTATTGGGCGGCCCAAGGAAAGCCGGCTGCGCAAGAAGCCGGTACCGACAAAGCTGCAGGCAAATGGTCTCAACCCAACCTTGCTGACCAGCCATGCAAGGCAAGCGCCCAAGCTGCTCGGCACGGGCAATTTTTGTGAAGTGTGGCTTGTGGATGGCTATGCTCACAAGACGAGCAAATGTGGGGACAGAAATGAAGTTCTAGTTGAGGAACGGATTTTAAAGACACTGGGTGAGCACCCGAACGTCATCAGCCTGATCCGCTTGCACGGTGACCAGCACCCAGTGAATGGGACCATCATCCTAAGTTAGGGTGATGGTCCCATTCACTGGAGCCCAGTGCTGCAACACTTGCCCGGCGGCACCTGGCAAGCAAGGGCTCCGCAGGAAGCCCCTCAAGTTTTCGATAAGTTATTGCCGACTTCGGCACAGCGGTGAATCTGACAGCTGAGAGAGGGGCTCATGCAGCACGACGCGAGAACGTCCTGTACACCTCGCCTGAATTTACTCTGCCGGGCAGTCTCTGTGTGATGTCCTTCAGCCACCCAAGGATGCGCCGCTGCTCGACGCAATTTTTAGCAACCCAATCGACTCAGACGAGATGTCGACCCTGCCTCCTGTGCTTGCGCAGTTTGTGGGCACCCTAGGCCCACAGCAGAGGCCGCAGCGGAGCTGCAGAGCTTAGCTCTGCAGCTGGGCTCCTGCTGACCTGAGCTTGAGCAGTTACGCCTCGGTCATGGGGGTGGGGGATCGGAGATGGTTCGTGGACATCCTGTATGCCATGCAGTCCCTGGTTCCGTACGTCAGCAACATCGACCGCATGCAGGAGGAGTGCGACGTCCTGGCGCTAACGCTGGCCCGCTGCCACAAGGTCACACTTTGCGAGTTTACGTCCGCGATGTTCGCTTCTCTGCGATCCCTGCTACCGTCGCGATGAAACTTGGAGCGCGAATGCCTGGACGTGGTTCTGGGGGTATGTTGAGAAGAAGGCGGATGCCAACAAGCAGTTTTCCCCTCCCCCTACCACAAGTGTTTGCACACTTCCTCACGCTTGGACGACGACACCCTGGGAGTGTTCAAGCTGGAGGTGTTCGAGACCTTCTTTGCCAATTCTGCGCAGTCGCAGCTCTTCTTGAGCGTACATCATGGACCGACTTGAACGAGAAGGACACAACCGACCTGCCCGTCTCCCTGACGGGCGACGGGGACCTCTTGATCTTCACCAAGCTCGACATGATCTGGGACATCCACCAAGTGTACTTCACACGCAGTGTGGTTTCCACTTTAAGCACTTAGACATCCACCAGCGTGAACCACGCGACAACTTCGACCTCAGCTGGCTTTGACATGCCGCGCCCGGACACCCACGAGCCCGCACCACGAGCCGACACCACGCGGCAATCTCGACTTTGGCGAAATGGCTTCGACGTCCAGCAAGCGGACATGAATGTGCACCAAGCAGCAACTTCGACTTCTGGCCAAGTGGCGGTGACATCCAGCACCCGGACATCCGTGAGTATTGCACTTGGATTTTGGCAAGAACCCCAAAGTCACGGACACGTTGCTACGGCCAGAACATCTTCTCAGGAACCAATGGCCGTCCCGACCCATTGCACTTGACGGTGAGATGACATATGTCAGTACACGTCTTTCTAGTGTGACGACATGATTTCAGGAACGACTACTGATGAAATCGGACTTGCAGCACATCTGAAACCGATGCTTTCTCTGACAGTATGCCATAGCAGTGGACCACTACTGTGCCGTTTTCTGCTTCAGTGCGGAGACAAGGGATGCACTTCCAGCTAGCTCTTTCCAAAATTTCAGTGTATGCAACAGGCATCTATAAGACAGCAGAAGACATAATGCCTCAAATCCTAAGCCCTAGAACCTTAAACCCGAAGCCCTAAACCCAAACCCTACAAGCCGAGCATCCCTGAAACCCTAAGCCCTGAAATCTCGTGAGTCGAATCAGGCCGGCCTCATGGTGAAAAGAGGCGTGACCGAAGCTGTGCCGACGACGAGGCGCCCACGCCTCAGAGTCGCTGTGGCTTAGGGTATTGGGTTTAGGGTTTAGGACTTAGGGGTTTAGGGTTTAGGATTTAGGGGTTTCGGGTTTAGGGTTTAGGGATTAGGGTTACGGTAGCTTCTTCTGCAAGGAGAAGCATCTGCGTGCAGAACACACAGACCTAGACGTTCGGCCTAGTAAAGACGGCGCAAAAGGAATGACTCTTTGAGATTGGCTGCATGCAAAAACTGTGATTCCCACCGACTGTTACGGAAAGGTTCAACTGGTGCCAGCATCGCCCAGCAGAAGCTAAGGCCCAAAAAGTCCCTTGCCCCCATCAGAATCAGAAACGACTCTAGAGATCCCATAGACTTGGCCAGGGTGGAGATCACCATGAGTGGCCTGGCCTGCCCGGAGAGCCAGGTGCCATCAGCTGGTTGGGCCTGGTTAGACGATGAAGCCTTCAGCCCCCAACTCCAAACCCCAAGAGCCTCTGAGTCTGAAAGCAGAGGTGCCCGTTGCCATTGTTATGTTTCAGACTTACAGGCTGACAGAACACATCGGCAAGCACCATCACTCAATTACCCACAAGTGCACCCCTTCGGCACTTCCGAGAAACCGCGGTGAGGGTCGATGGGGCGCCGAATATAAGGTAGCACACTGACAAATACGGTCTTTCCCCACCTTCGTCTGGAGATGGCCATGACCCTAGACGGGAGGAGCTCAAGGAACCCCGAATTCCGAAGCTCGGACATGCAGGCTGGACGACACCACTGCCGGTTGAAGTGCCAGGCTCCTGGGTTGGAGGAGTCGGGAGAAGGGGATACGAAAGCCTCAAGTATTCGGGACCTCATTTTGAAGTTACAAGAGGTGTGTTACAGGGGCACTCTGATGTTTTTGCAAAAGGTGGCTTTAGCTGAGCCAGAAGCAGCCTATGCTTTGGCCTGCGTGGCTCAGCAGAACTGTCATGGCAAAGACTCATGAGATGAGATGAGTAAGTCTCAAGTAACGCAAAACAGGGGGTCTAGGCCCAATACCCGCTTCGTAGCTGGCCAATGGTGCTGGCGACATTAGCCTTCTTATTACTGCTGGGTGGAGCGCACCCGGCCCCCGTGACGGTGAAGTTACGGACGGTTCGACAGCAAGGACAGCCCCTTGATCCAGGACTGGGTGCCCGTCAAGCTACGTGTAGTTCCGTGACCAGAAAGATCTATGCGAAAGTAGTCCGGGTCCTCTAAAGGCAAAGGCGAAGCCGCGAAGCCCAAGCCCGAAAACCTTTTGTCCGAGAGACTACACCCACCAGGACGATTTCGGAGCTTCCGCAAAGAGGCCGACATGATGTGCAAGTTTCGGCCTAGGGTTGGGATTGAGCTTCACGCCCGGTCTCGACATGTAGGGCTGTCAAACGGTTCAAACGGGCAATTGGTATTTTTAAGTGGTGCCTGCATGACTGCATGCAATGCATATGTGTTTGTGTATGTGTGTATGTTCGTGCGTGCATGGGCACTGGCCTGCACATCTTATCGTCCCTGCATGAGTAGTATCTCGTCTGCTGCCTATCAGTCTATCTAGCTATCTATCTACCTATCTGTCGATTTATTTATCTCTCCACCTACCTGTCTACCTATCCACACATCTATCTATCCTTGATCTATCTGTCTATCTGTCTGTGAATCTGTCTATCTGACTATCTGTCTACCTATGCATCTATCTACGTACATATTTATCTACCTACCCGCATACATGAGGTAACAGAATACCCGAACATATGTATACGTGTGTGCATACACATGCATGTTTGCATATATGCATGTATTGGCTAGGTAGATAGGTAAGTCGGTCGGTCGGTAGGTTTGTAGGAAGGCACGGAGATCCGACATATAAACATACAATGCACCGATAAACTATAAAAAATATCCGGCCGGGTCTGTGCAAAAAGTGTCGAGGCCTTTGGCTTGGAGGTGTCAGAGCTGGGCTTCAGCCCAGACCCGCTGTTCCGAAACGCCTCCCTGCGAGGACCCGGGTTTCTGCAGCGGGTCGGTTGCCTGAGAAACTGCAGTTTTCGTCTTTGTTCTCGGCTTTCTGAAGGGTGTCCCAGCTGCGAGAGAGTTTTTCTCTACTCGGATTCTGATGTGTTATTTGGGCAGTTCTCAAAATTGGGGGTCCCTTTTTAGGTCCCCAATATAGTACGGCACCCTTGTAAAAAGGATCCCCAAGGGGACCCTAATTTAGAGAACTACCCATTTGGTGCCTTGCTTCCCTTCCAGGTCCAACTCTCGGGCTGCAGCTTCTGGCAGCTCCGGCTTCGGCCACGCTAAAGCTGACGAATGTCGCAAGTCAGAAATGGTTTTTTGAGGTGTTGTGGTTGAGCTTTGCGGTTTTGGTGGGGGCTTAGGGAGGGTTCTAGAAGTGTTAGTAAAAAGGGTTGTTAAAGCTTCAAGGGTTTTTTTGGGGGTTTAGAGGTGTCCAGGGTTTTCAGGGCTTGAGGCGTGAAGTCCTAGCTGCCGGTAGAAGTTTGGAACCCGCCACGAGGTGAACAGTTTGCTCTATACAGCGGACCTGGACATAGGTGTTGCTGGACGATCTGCTCGGGTCGTGGTGGACACTGGTTACCTGACCTATTCAGATTCATCTTTCGAATCTTTCGAACACAAAACTAAGTCTGTGGTAGTCTCAGGGCAAGCGTTTCCAAGTGAGGTTCTGCTGACTTTTGGCTGAAGCCGAACCTGTTGGTGGAGGAAGTGCATGGTCAGAAGCTTGACCCCTGGCTCTTCTCAGAATGCTTTGGCCAGCGGTTTAGGGTTTAGGGTTTATAACTAGCAGCTCTTCACATTTTCCGTACCGTGTTATGAGGCTGTCAGCATGACTCTGTGCAGCTTTGCTACAAGAGTCCGTGCAAGGTCAGTGCCTCGCCGCGTCGACAGGACGTTGGTGGACAGCTACTCGTACCAGAGTATATGATCCGATACGGACTCGGTCAGGTCATAGGGATCCCCATCGTCGAAGAGCGTGTTTGTGCTGGGTCCCTGTGCCTGAAGCAGCTGGAGCTCATGCTTGCGGTAAAGATTCAGGGCGTCCAGGAGCAGGGGGCCTTTGACGGATTCTGGGTTCTGCATATGAACCTGTCAGGTTGTTTTTTTTTGCAGCCTTGGAGAAGGGTGCCGTGAGGTGTTAAGACTCTCAATTTCTGTTGTCCTGATTGAGAGGTGAGACGGATAGAAGATGATAGATCCCTATCCTGGTCACTTGAATGAAGCTTCTGAACAAGAGCTCAGGATTGGCAGGGCTGGCTTTCCCACTGCTGCAGCAAGCACCGACGAATCAGACTCTCCTCCAAGCTCTGCAGCTCCAAAGTGGCTGCAAGCACTTTGGCTTTTCCCTGGCACTGCGGGGCGAAGGCGGCGAGAGCCTTCTCAGCCTGGGTGAAGTGAAAGATCTCGTGAAAGCGATGGAAAAAGAGGAGGGCGGCAGCAGCGTCCCCGTCAAGGTCGTGAATCGAGACCAGGACCCGGAGCCTGGCTACTGGATGGTGCAGGTCGGGACTCCTGAAAGGCTTCGCATTGGGATGGTCATTTCTGCAAGAGTTACAAGGGGATCCGGACCGGGTGTTGTTGAAGGCCCGGGTCACCTGTTTGCAGCTGAGAGGTGAAAATGTCGGTCTTCAACGACAAGAATCAGAATCAGCTGCTTCTAGCGAAAGGGAAGGGCCTCCTGGATTCCGGCAGCTCTTTCCTGGCCGTGCCTGAGGAGCAGCGTCTTGGTGGTTCTAGGTTGCCTGCATGTTGTCACAACCAGCCCGACCGTCAACTCAGCCCATGCTTGAAGCTCAAGGATGCACAACCCTCTACAACTTTACACGCCCCAGCTCCACCCTAAATCCGGAAGCCCGAAGCACAAAGCGAGAGGGTTTGGTGGGCTACATTGTCATGGCGCTTACCTACGGCCACGGAGGGCTGCCCAGCCTCGCAGTGGATGAATCGCAGAGGCTGCTGTGCAGGTGGGAGGCTCCAAGGATGTAAAGAGCGATGAACCGTGAACCCGGGCGACGTAAGTCCTAAGTTCTGAACCTACGACAGCCGAACAGCCGAACAACTGCACTCTACCTCTTTGGATCCCGGGTTGAGGCTCTTTTCGGGCCAAAGGGTAAGTTCTAGGACGCAAAGATCACTGCTTGGACTTAAGATCGCGACTTCGGCGAATGGTTGCGGGCTCTACATCGCCCCCGACGTAGCTTGCCCTGTGCTTCCAGCCCCCGTGTCACACTTGGAACACTAGAGGACAAGCTTCTGCAGCCTTGGTGACCTCGAACCCTTGATCGGTCGCAGACTGGCAGGTGCGACGCCGGACTGAACGACCTTGTCTTCGAGCTTTTTGGGGAAGATGGGAGAACCTTGAAGGTGACCCTCACCCAGGACCTCTGCATGCAGAAAGGGCACGGGTGCAGTCTCGAAAAGAATCGCTCCATGGGTTGGAGTGTCCTTGACTTCTAGGCTGTTCCGCACTCTGGGCATCAGCAGCTCACCAGATATCCATGCTGAGCACTCTATTTGCTGAGCCCTTCTTCTTTTCTTTTTATAGTTCAATCCCCCCCCAAGCCGGCCACTCGAACCGATGCTTTGCGGAAGGTAAACGCCTGCTGCCCGATCATCCCGATGCATTAGTAAGCCTTCCCTGTGAGACAGGACGACTTGCTGGAGCCTCCGATGTCTCTCTTTTCTTCTTACTGCGCGCTTCGCCTCCTGGTGATTCCGGCCAGCGCAAACATCCCCTATTTGAGACCTTGGCAGGAAGCTGTTATGGGTCCAGGGTTTGGGTTTGGGGTTTACGTGTGTGGATTGCGTGAGGCCCTGGAGTGTTCAGCAAAGTAAAATCCCTGACGAGGGTTTGGGATATCCAGGGATCTGAGTAAGACATCCAGGCCTGAGGCGTAGAGGTGGCTCGAGTACTCCGAGTACTCAAGATCTGCCCCTCTCGCAGCACGAAAACCCTAAACCCTAAACCCTAAACCCTAAACCCTAAACCCTAAACCGCAGCTGAATCTCAGGATCATCGGCGACCCCTTTCTTCGCAAGGTCTCCGTGGTCTTCGACGTTGACGGCACCAGGGTGCACGTGCTGCCCGTTGGAGATAAGAAGGGAGCTGCATTGGTGGCAGAGGTGGGCAGAGAAGTGTTCCTAAGCTTCAAAGCCCAGGACCCCAGTTCCAAATATTCTAGATCCTAACCCTTGAAGCCATCCATCATGATAATATGGCACAATATATTCGAGCATAGTATAAGAAAGCATGATACAGTCTCATATCATGCAAGGTAGTCTAACATAGTCTAAGATAGTTGAATTGAGCAGGGCCTGGCCGTTGGCCCTCCGCGTGAGCTCGCGCTGCTCGGCCTCGTCGCCCTGCTAAGCACGGCCCTGGCTGCGACCTGCGCCTGGAGGCGCCTCGGCCAGGGCTCGGGAGAAGCCGGCGACCAGTACCTGGCGATGTAGAGCCGGTAACTGGAGCATGGTCTCAGGGACCCTGGGATATCGGGGTCTCTGGGTGGGAGGAAGAGGTGGAAGGTCGGACGGTTCAGGAGGAGGAGCCGGGAGAATCCGGATTCGGTCCTGCGCGAAGAACACCTTCTGCGTCAGGCCGCTGTCTTGGACTTTTGATGACCTCTTGACCTGACATCATGTCGGCGACAGAAAAGCGCTGGAGCCTGATTCAGGGCTGGGGTGCCTCTCCAGTAAGATGGGATGGGGACTTTCACACCTGCCTCGAAATGGACCTTCTCGTTTTCCGAGCAGCATCAAACCCCCGAAGCCTGAAGCCCCAAGGCCCCCCACGCTTACCTGTCGGGGTCGGAGGCATACTGTAGCCAAGAGTCTCCCTCACAGTCCGCGCATGTATGCATGTCTGTGCATAGATCGATAGATGGATGGATGGATAAATAGATCGGATAGACAGGTAGATCGATAGATAGATAGATGGATGGATAGATCGATAGGTAGATACAGGTTGTACGACATGCCACAACACCCTACTCTGATTGTTGCGGCCCTCCTCCGTGTTACAGGTTCTTGGCGAGTGCCGAGCTACCAACGATGCCTTGGCGGAGTGGATTGGCAAGTACGTCTTCGGGGCGGCGACGCGCAGGAACCCAAGCCGAAGGTGTTGCGAGAGTATGTGGGTAGTTCTCTAAATTAGGATCCTCTTTCAGGTCCTCAGAGGGGACCCGAATTTAGAGAACTACCCATGCGGTTCTCGGGTCCCAGAAGAGGAGCTTTGCGGGCCTTGGTGGGCACTTGGGTTGCAGAGACTGTGCCCTAAACACGCTGCTAGCTCCGACTGAATCGACGAAACTTTGGCAGCCCCAAAACCCCAAGCCCTAAAGCAATCCCGAAACCACAACCCCTCCACAAGCCCTCCGAGCTTTGATACCGGTCGGGCTGAAGGATTTGGGGTTTAGGCCTGGGTTCGGGGTCTACGACTTCAGGACCTCTCGAAGCCAAAGAGCTTCAGGGTTCCTTGTCGTGAGCCCCTGAAGAGAACTCCCGTAAAGAAGGCCTCGGGTTATCTTCAGGCCGGGACTCGCTTGGAGACAACGCCTGGTGGGACGCGGAAGCCGCGGACAAGGCGACGTCTTCGAGTTTTCGGAATCTGCGGTCTCTAGATTTCCGCGTTTGCTTTTTTTGGGGGGGGTTTGGGGTGGGTTAAGGCGACATGGACCTCGAGGGGAGAGCAAGTGCGGCAACAGGAAGATAAGCTGGACGAGAAAGCACGTACGGCACTAGAGAATGTCTGTCCGTGGAGATCTACATGAACGCAAGCATGCAGGGAGAAGCCAGACTAGCACCGGAGACACTGTGAGTGGTCGAGTGACCTCTCCGACACTAGCGGCGATTAATGGATCTCACAGTAATTGTGAAGATGTGCAAGCATGAGGGTGGCCGTCAAAAGGAAGCGCATAAAGCCTGGCAGATACAGAAGAGGCTGTCGCACCAACATCCATAGCCTGCTAAGAGGCTTAGGTACTAGGATTGCACAAACTCTTGTATTCCAGGAGTTTGTGCTCAGTCTTTGGAGGTTGGCCCTCTGGGCGTTTTCTACCGTTTCCCATGCCCTGGCAGGAACCTATCGCGGCGCTGATCCAGGCTTTGAGAACACTTTCGCGCGGCAGCCTACAGCTCGTCTGTCTCTATTCCTCGTCTCTCTCCCTCTCTCTCTCTCTCTCTCTCTCTCTCTCTCGCTCTTTGTCTCTCTCTGTCTCTCTCTCTCTCTCTCTCTTTGTCTCTATCTCTGTGTCTGTCTCCCTCGCTCTCTCTCTCTCTCTCTTTGTCCCTCTCTCTCTTTGCCTCTCTCTCTTTCTCTCTCTCTCTCTCTTTGTCTCTCTCTCTCTCTTTGTCTCTCTCTCTCTCTCTGTCTCTCTCTCTCTGTTTGTCTCTCTCTCTCTCTCTCCGTCTGTCTCCCTCGCTCTCTCTCTCTCTCTTTGTCTCTCTCTCTCTCTCTTTGTCTCTCTCTCTTTGTCTCTCTCTCTCTCTTTGTCTCTCTCTCTCTCTCTCTTTGTCTCTCCCTCTTTGTCTCTCTTTGTCTCTCTCTCTCTCTCTTTGTCTCTCTCTCTCTCTCTGTGTCTCTCTCTCTCTCTCTGTCGCTCTCTCTCTCTGTCTCTCTCTCTCTCTCTCTTT